GTTATCATCCCTAGTTATTAGGAAAACACAAATCAAAACAACTTTGAAACTTCATCTTACCCTTGTCAGAATAGCCAAGATCAACAACCAACAACAAATGCTGGGCAGGGTATGGGGAAAGGAGAACGCTCATTCACTGTTGGCAGGATTGTAAATTGACCTAACCAATACAGAAATCAGTGTAGAGAATAATTATAAAATAAAACCAAAACTATATCTCTTGTCATATGCCCAAGTGACTCAATATCCTATTCCCCAGAAACTTGCTCATCCATGGTCATTGCTCCTCTATTTACAATAGCTATGAAATGGAAACAACCTACTTGTGTTTCCACTGATCAGTGCATAATGAAAATGTGGTACACATACACCACAGAATCCTATTCAGCTGTAAAGAAATATGAAATGGTCTTTGAAGGCAAATGTATGAATCTAAAATAAAATCATACTGATTAAGGTAACCCAGTACCCAAAAGACAAACGTTTGCGTTCTTTCTCGTCTAAGGCTCATAGTTTCAAGTTTTCAGCTGCGAGTATATATCTTAGATGAAGTGTAGAAACCAAGAGACCATTGCAGGGGTGCAAGGTTAGGAGCACAATAAAGATGGGGATAAAAGGGTTCAAATGTTCTGGTGGGGAAATGGGAAAAGGAAAAAGTAGGGGGTGTTCTAATTAAGAATGGGAGAGGGAGATAAATACAGAATGACAGAGCATGGTAAAATAACTGTCAGAATTTCTAAGAATGATAAAGAATTATAATATTAGCCATTTACCTTAGAAACCTATAATGCACATAAGTCTGTGTCTAAATATACATATAAAGTTTAAGTGAAAATTTCCCATCTGAGCTGACAATGCTCCATCAAAGGGCCAAAGACTATCTTATAAAAACCTCAACAGCAAGCATGAGAAGCCCTCTTTAAAATTATTGGATAGGGCTGTTCAAGAAACTCACAGAATGTTACAGACTTATTATTGCCCTTGTTTTCCCCTCAGAGGTAGAAGGTAAATCTGTACTACTAAAGACACCATGCACTTAGAAATAGGGACCAGAAGCCCCTGAGCCAGAACTGAATAAGCTTAAGACCTGAATAAGAGAAAAGTAATGCTTGGTATGAAAATATACCAGTTACCTAGGGCTGGTGAAGCCATGGACCCTGGAAGAAAATCTACTATTGCAGTAAATAAGGATCAGGATAAACAAATAGGCCGAATAGATGTTTAATCAGGGAGAAATAACTTACAACCTAGACAGATGAACACCAGGAAATTCAACCCGATCCTCTCCTGTCCGAGTCACGCCAGAAAGAAAGGCGCCTTCCTGGCCCCCTCCGACCTCCTTCCTCAGGTCACCTCCGCCCATCGCTCCACCCCCCAATGGGCGTGGTCAGTGCTACAGAAGGACTACCTCACTACAATTCCCCTTTTAGTCTAAAGAAAAGATTTAGGCTTAATACAAAACTATATACAAAACAGTGAATAACAAGTGTGCTCTAAGAAAAGGAAAATCGAGAACAAAATGACCTACATATCTAGTCCTAGGGTGAGGGCATAATGGAGTTTACAATAGAGTTGTCCTAAGCTGGAAAACGTAAGTTTAGTACCTAATATATCTAACTAGGAAGAGAGAATAATAGTTGTGATAGTTTAATCTTCAACCTCATCAAGACCTGAGAAGGAAATTAACAATACTAGAGTAGACAGGAAATGTGGATGGACAACTTCCAAAAGGTGCAGCAAGGACAGAAACAGCAAGCCACCTGAACAGTCACCCTAGGTCTCACAGCAACGTTGGTACACCCAGATTTGGCTAAGGCCAAGAGAACTTGACAGACCACAACAACAGCAGGGAAATAGAATGGCTGTCTTACCCTGACTTGGCAAGGTCAAGCAGTCTTCTATATTTGTTTCCTGTAAGCACATAGGACTGCATGTCCAAATCAGTGGTCAAGGTGGGGGCAATTCTATGCCCAACAGGCCATTAGCTGAGGCGAGATTGAACTCCAGCAGGAGCAACAACAGTGTCCAACATATTTTCGGGAAAGTGCACGGTGCTGTCAGGAGCAACAGTGTCTCATGTCAATGGAGTACTAATATTAAAACATTTAAATGCCATGTTCTGTATGTCTATGAAGTGATTGAAGATTAAGCATCTATATCTGACTAATCTCATAGGTACAGGAAATGTGAGTGAAGATAATCTGTAATACTCGGGAACTTAGCTAAAAAGACTGAATAAAACTTTCCTGAGTAAAGCAGGAACAAATACTTAAACAATATAACTATTTAAATATACCTACATGTAAATCCCTAAAATAGAGGTAGAGTATAAGTGTCAAGACAAGAGGTAGAACTATAAAGGGCAGCAAGATAAATATCCCAAATTGTATCAATATACAAAATGTCTTGAATACAGGAAAAGTATACATACATAGAATATGGTAAAAAATAATGTGTATAAAATATTATAAGTGGAAACATTTAACACAATATAACAAAATATAAACTTAATTTTACATAGCTTACCACATAGGAATACATAACAATGTAAGCTGTAAAATACTATCTCATTCATATTCAAATTCTCAAGGAAATAGGCTAATCTACTTATATCCCATCTAAACCATACCTTTACCCACCATTCCCTATTCCTGTCTAAAAGATAAACCCGAGTGTAAGCATCACCCAATCCCAAATAACTAAAACCAACCCAAAGACGATGACTATTATTCCAAAATTTTAAGGGTAGGGAAAGGGGGCGTAGTCATATTAAGATTACTTCCTGTTGAAATGGGACGATGATTGTTTCAATGGATCCTGTAGGAAGAAAATTTTTAGTAACCAAATTTCTCAACAGAACTGGCTGTGACATATGTAGTTAGTCATTGTGTGGCAGAAAATTCTTGACTGTAGTTCTATTTGAAACTCTGGCCAGGGTGTAATAAAAAGGTGCACCATTACAGCTAGCTAGTCATGAGTTGTCTCGAGCAAAACAGTCTCAAACCGGCGCGAATGCAAAGTCCCGTGTGGAAATGGGCAAAAAATGTTAAGCGGTAAGTGCCTTCTCAGGTCTGTTTTAGCAGCAAAGATTTCCTTTGTAGTAAGGAAGAGGCAAATGTCCCAAAGCTGTGGTGAGTCCACCTGGTTAAACCCTGCCCGTTGGGGAAGGTGGGGGAGGGGGCGGCTTCTGCCGCCTGGGGGCAAAACCCAGGTAAATCCCACTTCTGACACCAGATATTGCGGTAAATAAGGATCAGGATAAACAAATAGGCCGAATAGATGTTTAATCAGGGAGAAATAACTTACAACCTAGACAGATGAACACCAGAAAATTCAACCCGATCCTCTCCTGTCCGAGTCACGCCAGAAAGAAAGGCGCCTTCCTGGCCCCCTCCGACCTCCTTCCTCAGGTCACCTCCGCCCATTGCTCCACCCCCCAATGGGCGTGGTCAGTGCTACAGAAGGACTACCTCACTACAATCTACAACTGCTAATTGTATCCCTTACTACATTCTAAACATTTGTCCTTATATCTACAGTAACTATAGTCTCATTTCTCATCATGGAAATTTCTCTTTGCAACAGAGACCATTCAGCCATTCAGAAAACCAAAACCAATCAAAATGCAGAGTTATAGAGACTGACCCTAATACGTATATCTACAAAACAATTCCCACACCCAAGGCTCAGGTAATATTGTGCAAGAGGTGGTGGAAAGATTGTAAGAGCCAGAGGATCGGGTGTTTCCCATAAAATCGTGTATCTCTGATTGTTAGAAGCTAAAAAGCCCATGAGTTCTCACCAGCATGACTGTCTATACATTGCTGAATAAGGAAAACCAACAATAGACCTGGACAGGGGAATGATCAAGAGACTCGAACATTACACAAATGTACCACAGGCCAAGGATGGGAGAAACACTTGTCCCCTGGAAAAGCACACCAATTGGCCACCTAGTATCAAATGGACAGTCCTGAAAATATGAAACATGTACAGTATCATTATACAAACTGAGCATTATTTATATGTATATATGTGTGTATGTATACATATATAATGTAAAAATACTGAAAAGGAGTTCATGAATTTTATAAAGGTCAAGTTGGGGTATATGGGAAGATTTGGATGGAGGAAAGGATAGGTGAAAATGATAAAATCAAATTATAATCTAAAACACCAAAAGAACAAATTACAAAATGAGAAACCAATCATTGAAATCATACCAACTCAAAGGCAAAGCATTTTTTAAAAACCAGCATTATAACAAAAGGATAAAAACCATCCAGACTCCAAGTCCAGTGAGTGCATTCTGTGTTCCTGACACACTAAGAAGAACAGCAGCCACTTCTTATGTTCCCTAACTTTCTTTGACTTAATTCACAGCGGTGTCATGAAATTCCTTGTAGATGTACTTGTGACTACCATCTTATACAGGAAAACACTGAAGCTTCAATAACTCAATGAATTTACGTTTGACAAAATAACTAGGAAAAGACAGGAAAGATTCATTGAGCAGATTTCTGAACTTAGTGTCTCTTCATCTTTTTTATATGTCTAGAAAAGCTGAGGAATTTATAGAAAATTCATACGCTCATGAAATATGATTGAAGAATGGTTGACTTATTTAAAATCTATTTCCTTGATATGCCTTCATCCCTTGATATGTCTCTTAGGCCTCACATTTGATATGTGGGATCAGAACATGGGATATCCACATCAATACAGAAAGTCTTGTAAAACATGGTCTGTCTTCTTGAAAAACAGAAACTCCACATTCTACTCTTTGGGATTTGGAAATCTCAAATGTGAGCAAAGCACTGTGAACAATGGAGCTTAGTGTTCTTCCAGGATCAATGACTGGGAGGGAAAGAGAATAGTCATATCTAGATTCCCACATAACTAAAGACAGAATGCTAACTGGTAGCAGAGAAGAGAGGAACTGAATAAAGTTCCATTGCCTACTGCAGTGGAGGGGATGAGTGTACTGGAGTTGGACTCACCTTGAATGATGCAAGCACCCAGATAGGCAGCATCAGAAAAGGAGCACAGCAGTCGACCATGAAAAATATCTCTTTTAATTTGCAAATATAAAAGGTATCTGCAACAGAAAAGGAGAAATAATCATCTTAAGTATTAGGAGTATTGGAAACTGGCATTCTGCTGACTGTGCCCCCTAATGAGGACAGCATGGCCATGTCATTGCTACATCACTCATTTCGGGGCTGGGGGCTGCATAGGGGCCTCAGTTATGCAAGCTTAAGTTTCCCTTTTAAAGCAAGTGTCACACCCCCCCCCCACTCTCTCCTGCTTTCTGTTGGCCACCAGGTACCCCCCTTTCTCTCTCTCTCTCTCTCTCTCTCTCTCTCTCTCTCTCTCTCTCTCTCTCTCTTCCCTTCCCCTTCACTCCCCTTCTAAATAAACTCCTCATTTAAGCTCTACCTGCCTGACTTGTCATTCCCTCCGCCTTGGTCACTGTCTCCTGCTATGGAACCTGCTATGCTCTCCCACATGGTCCCTTACCTTGGGACCCCACTCCCTTGGGACCGTCCCACCCCCTCTCCAGCTTTTATTCTTATAACTGTAATGAAAGAAAAACATTGTGAAGCCTGGAAGTAGGAATTCTTATGTTGTCTAACTGAACCACTAAAGCCACACCTAACTCTAGACAGTAGCTTAGACACATCAAGCCTCCTTTAGATGAGTACATGCAGAAAGAAGTTGAGATTTTGCAATTTAGAAACCCAACAATTATGTGAGCTTCCAAAGGTAAATAGGCTTGGCCTTCCTAAGAACCCCAAGAACAATCAAGAAACACATGGCCTAGCAATCACTACTACCACTCTAGGAAAACCACAACTTATACGATCCATATCCCAAGTGTCTTTTGAAATTTGTTTTATTTTAGCTAGGTGGTAGTGGTGCAAGTCTTTGATCCCAGCACTTGGGAGGCAGAGGTAGGTTGATCTCTATGAGTTTGAGACCAGCCTGATCTGTAAGCTACACAGAGAAACCTTGTATAGAAAAACAAACAAATAAAACATAAAACTTTATTTTATGTGTATTTGTAATCAGGAGCTGGGTTCAATTAGTATACACCCATTGTTCCTCACAAGAGACAGTAACTACTCAACAACAAAAACTTATCAACAACAAATTTGGTTATGAAGCCAAATCTAGTTGATTGATACGTGTATTGGGCTCTTGTGCCACTGTATTTGGTCTCTGTTCCTCTGTAGACAAACTCAGTCAGATGCCTACCTGTAAAGGCACAAATGTGATTGGCAAATTGGTTTGGGGAAGCAGAATGAAAAGTGGGCTATATTATGCCAGGATCAACTACTATGAAACTCTCCCTGTGTTTTCTTGAAGAAAAACTGAAAAGATGAGTCCACTTTGTGAGAAAAGTCAAGACATTGTATTTACAACGAAAAACTTTACATTGATAAATATTATCACAATACTTTAAGAGAATATTATAGTTTAAAAAAAAATCCAGAGCCAACAGTTTATAGGCAGTAGCTTCTACTCCCTTGTCTGTCCTTTGAGTTCATCTAAGAAGGTCAAATTCTTTTCAGGTTCCATACTCTTTCTTAACCAAATTGACTCTTGCTTTCCAGTTTATTTTTCAACCAAAGAAACACATTCCATTCATGCCAATTTTAACATTTAACTACAGGAGACTAGCCCCCCACCTTCACATCTTTGCATATCCTGAAGGGAGCCCTGAAACACACATTTCAATCAGTCAATTACAACTTTGAGATGCATAATTTTTTGACATTAGCTTAACTGGGCTGTGGGATGCCCAGATATGCAGTTTAACCATGATCTCTGGGTGCCTTTAAAGGTATTTAAGTGTGTAATTTGTAGCTGGGTTAGTGAACTGGCAAAACAGATGACTACTTTATTTGGGGTTTACAGCATTCAATGTGTTAGAGGACTGAATGAGACAGAACTGCCAAGGGAGGGTGAATTCACTCTGGTAATGAGAACCAGAATGTTCTGCATTTTGTACTCCTTATCCGTGGGCCTTCAGACCTGGATAGAATCCACTGCCCCCTGTAGACTCTCTCTTGAAGATTGTAGGGCTTTCCTACCTCCATAAAGATGTAAGATAATTCCTTATAATAAACTTAATGCAAACACACATACATAGCCATTCATGCATGTGTGCACATACCCTCCCCCCCAACACACATTCTACAAATTCTATTGTATATTTCTCTGGAAAAACTCTGACTAAATACCTCTACTACTTAGTAATTTGCTCTTTACTCAGTCTTATGATGGGCCAAAGCATAATTCCACTTTAAAGATAAAGACATAGAAAATCAAAGGGAGATTTGTGTGCTGATATCATAAAGATTTTCCTTGGTCCTTGGTCCAGGACAAGGGAGCTGCTTCACTGAAATCACATTGGACACAAGAAGGATTCATTGGCTTACTGGTGTTTTCTTCACATGAATCTTTGTCTCACATACTTTACACTCTGCATTGTTCTACCCATTGAGGTATTAAGGACTTGTGGCAGGTTCAAAAGACAACCCGCTTCCATTTTAGTACACTATTGCATTAAAGAGGTAAAGTAGCTAATAACTTTATTTCTCAGTTTGAATTGACAGTCCAGACTAAATCCTGTACTGAAGCCTGCCATCTTTAATGAACACACTTATTACATAAAGATGTTGTTCAAATGTTATTTCTGATTTAGTAGGTATGTAGAATATTTATGTACTCAGAACTACCTGGCAATTCTGTGTCAGGAGCACACTTTGGATAAGTTTCTCAATCATCAATGAACAGGAGAATCACTAGGGGAGGTGGAGCTCTTATTCTTAACCACCAGACAAATGCAAATTAAGGGTACCTGGAGATTTCATTTCCCTGAGTCAGAATGAATAAGATACAAAAACTAATGAAGACAGATCCTGGGAATTGGGAAGCACTTATTCACTGTTGGTGGGAGTGCAAGTGCATAGCCACTATGGGAATCAGGGTGGAGGTTCTTCAAAGAACAGAACATAGATCTAATATATGGTACATTATATCACTCTTGGGCATATACCTAAAAGACTCTATATCCTGCTGAAGAGATAATTCCTCAAATATGTCTACTGCCACAGTATTCACAATAGCCAGGAATGGAAACAGCTCAGATGTCTATGAGCAGATGAATAGACAATGAACACACAGTATAGCTATACAATGGAATATTAATCAGCTATTATAAAATCCACAAGGAAAGGGATGGAGTTGCCCTCCCTCCCAAAAATCACACTTTTCCTCAAACTTGTGGACATTAGCCTAGAATCTTTATATATATATATATATATATATATATATATATATATATATATATATATTGTTTTTCTTTTCTCAGTGGGAGTAACCCACAGAAGTTAGGAGATTAAAGTGTTCATGGAAAGGGGCTTTCACTGGGATAAAGGGTTAAAGGGAAATTATGGGACAAGAAAAGATAAATAGGTATGGCAAAGGGGGAGATAGAATATAAGAGAAAAGTCAGGATGGAGAAACAACACTAAAAACATATCCAAAATGCCATATGGAAACCTACTACTGTAGAATCATCATATATCTACACACATACATAAAAAGAGTTCAAATGCAGTTATCCTATGACAAGCTAATAAATACAAAGTTCTGTCCTAGGAGTAGGCAACACATTTTGGAGTTATTGCCAAATGAGGTCACAAAGACCCCTCCCCCCAATAACATTGCAGGCTGTTGCCAATGCTCTTGCTTACCCTCCAGAACTTGGTGGTAAGAGCTATCTTCTGATGATAGCACATACCTGACTCTTAGAATATGAAAAATCAAGCTGGTACTGACATGGAAACTTTTCTACTGGTTAGTTTTCAAAATTCTGGGAGGAGGTCTGTAATCTATCAGAGGCCAGTATAAACATTAATTATAGCTAGCAGTGAGTGCATCATGTAAGATACACTGCCTGGTCTAGCAAGACATGGCCACAGGGGCAATAGTGGCTTGAACAACACACAAACAACTAACCATTTTCTGATTGGATTTAAGGCCTGCTCCACAAGATGAAACCCATACTTGGCACCATTATGGGGCTGAGATACTCTGATTAGACAGGTTATAGGCCCTAGAATGGAACCCACTACACTTATTCTAAACGTAGATTATACCAAACCAAATCCTGATGCTTATTGTTACACCCATAGATTAAGGTACCTCTCAACCTTCATCAGAGAGGATGTATCCATTTGCATTAGATGATGATCAAAACAACAACCTGCAACTGGCTAAGGTGCAAGAAATAAGAGACTGTAGAATAGTCAGCTCTAAATGGAACATTTATATCACGTTCCCCTCTTCCAAAGATGACAGAAAGAGTGTAAAAGCCAGATATGGTAGATGACTATGAAGAAATAGTGTCTTTTGGACACAGAAGGGAAGCTGTAATTATGAACTCAAAGCTGTTCTATAGGATTCTTAAGACTTGTTAAATTCAAACCAGAGCAAATTCCAGCATGAAAAGGGGAATTGGAAGACCATCCACCAGGCAAAGAGCTATGGACAATTGTTGACATTTATCCCAAGAAGGCAGCCCCTGACAAATTCACTGTGCTCTGGTGGAAGGCTACACATTCAATAATACTTTGGCTATAAAATTTGATCTTGATTAGGGGAAAAACACACACACAAAATTGGGTGGGAAGGGAAGGGGAGTAGATAGGGGAATAGAAGGGAGGTTGAAAATTATCAAAACTCATTTACAAAACTCACAAAGAACTAATTAAAATATAAAATTAAGGCAAAATACCAATGGTACATATTTTTAAATGGTAACCTACACCCAACTAAATCATCATCTAGATCAAAATTTGTATTTTTTTGATTATTAATTATAACTAAAAAGTATTAATAGTTCAAATGTTTACTAATGAATGAAGAAAATGTGATATATGCACACAAATAAAAATAATTTAAGCATAAAAATAAAAAATGAAAGATATTAGAGTTATTAATTATAACTTGGTATGAATTTTACTAAGAAATAGGACTTGTTAACAACTTTGTCATTCTTTGTATTAGATTGTGATGCATGTTCAAAATTTCTTCACCAATTGGTTGTTTAGTGCCTAATGGTCAGTCTTAAAATATATATATATAAAATTAACATTATATGGACTGGATAGGTTATATTTAGGAGTATATATGTACATAACTATATGTATATACATGCAATACAATTATTTAAAAAAGATACTATGAATCTGAAGGAGAGCATGGGGGAGATGTATATGAAGAACTTAGCGTGAGGAAGGAGAAGGAAGAAATGTAATTCTAGTAAATCTCAAAAGTAAAACAAAATAGATTTATAGAGGAAAGAATGACCGAACTAAATCATTATTTTAGGGACTGGAGAGATGGCTTAGAGGTTAAGAGCACTGGTTTCTCTCCCAGAAGTCCTGAGTTTAATCCCCAGCAACTACATGGTGGCTCACAACCATCTACAATGAGATCTAATGTCCTCTTCTGGTGTGCAGGCATACACACAGGCAGAACACTGTATATATAATCAATAAAAAACCTTTAATAATCATTATTTTATATGTTTTTAACTGAAATAAAATTATATGCCTTTCCCCTTTCCATTTCTTTCCTCCAGTCCCTCCCAGATATACTTTCTCTAACTGCTTCCAAGACTCTCCAACCCTCTCTATGATAGTCCTTTTTCTTTGATTAAGGATATATATGTATATGTTATACATAAGTATATAATAAAATATGAATGCATGTTGTTACATACATATGTATGTATATATTTTCCTAATTATACTGTTAGTACATTGAGGGACTCTTTCAGTTGAAAAAATTGTCTTGGGGTTTTGGTATGGCCTTAGTGGGTCATCTATTTTATTTTTGTGCATATTTTTTTTCTAGTTTTTAACTGTTGTTATTTGAGGTTTAGAGTGGTGTCAAAGGTGTTATTCTGTTTTGTGTGTGTGTTTGTGGTTTTTTTTTTTTTTTTTTTTTTTTTTTTTTGGTCTTTGTCATTGTACATTTCCCCCTGGGTAGATACTTAGAACTGAGGAAAAATTAATCAAATAAATTATAAATAAATTTTAAAACTCATGCCAAATCAGGTCAAAGATACATACCCTACTATTTCACTGACATGAGGTACCTGCAATAGATGAATCTATAAACATAGAAAATAGTTTAGTTGTTTCCTTGTTTCCTGGGGCTAGAATGGAGAGATGGATCATATCTGCTGTTAAATAACGTGTTTTTGTTTTTATGGAGTAATAAACATACTCTGGAATTCAGTAGTGGATATACTTTTCCAACATCATAAATGTACTTGTGAAATTAATTTAATTCAATGAAAAGAAAAAATAAAAAAGGATTACAAAATAACAATACCTAAAATATCTTACATATTTTTTCTCCTTCACATTACACACACACCACACAAAATACATTCTCTTTCTCTGCTCCTGTACTCCTAGCACAAATGTTATGAAAGAGTTGTGGACAAATTAGTCAGATAAAACAATTATCTGCTCCCTTCACTACTTACGGTCAAATATCACTATAGGCTACAGATAACAGAAAAGCAAAATCTACTAAGACCTTTACATTTCACCTGCCAATAATCAGAATAACGTGTATTTGCCTTTCTGTTGGAGCAGGACCTATGCAGATTATTGTTAGCTATAATTACATATGGCATTTTGGATGTCACCAAATTAGAGTCTCATCAAGAACTAAGTGCATAACAGCTCTTGCACACGTCCAACCAGAAGGTGGCCATCTTGGAGTCTTGCTCAGTGATTTTTACCAAGTTTTTCAGGGAAACAAAGCTCCAAGGTCAACTGAATATAATCAACCCAGCAGAGAGAGATGAAAGAAAAGCCTGAGACAGTTCACAGAGTTGAGCTGAGAAGAGTACACTAATGAAGGAAAGACTACCTGGCAGTTGTCATTTATCAAGTGAAAAGCAAAACAGTCCATTGTCCACTCTGTCAAGAAATCTGTCCTTTCAGAAAGGCTTAGATCTAAAAGACAGACTAGGACAGCCCTCTGCATTTGCCTACATCTTCTGCTTGCTATTAGCACCCCACTGCCAAGTGATCTCTGAAGGCCTCTCCTTCATAACCATTGTTGTCTTTTTCAGATAATACTTTTTCAATGACAATGGTTCTCTATAAATTATCCCAAAAGCAAAAAGAATAAGAGGAGCACAATGCTGACTTCAGAGCCTGCTCTCTGGAGGTATTCTGATCGAGATAATAGGAATGTTTAGCCTTTAAGACAATAGAGTCTCTGGATACAAGCGGTATAGTAAATATGCAGAAAAAGAAAAATACCTTGTGAGCTCTTCTTTAATCTTCAAGGGTTCATGTGGGTAGAATTTCACTCTAAAGCACATGGTGTATGGTGGATGAGCTGAAACATCATAAAGAAAAGGCATGAGATAAGCGACAAAAGATCACAGATTCAAACATACAGGAACGTCAGGCATGAAGCCTCACAAACTAGCAGGGAAGGGAGTAGAGTTGTAAGGAAGAAGCCAATAGAATGCTTAAGAAAATAACATGACAGTGACACAAAGAAAGTGCTTAGCAGGACATCCCGAGAAAATACAGGATACAAGCAACTAAGGAGGAAGCCCATCTTTCCATGCCTCAACTCTCCTTCATCCCTTCATCTCTCAAGATCACAGCTCCAAGCAGTACTTTCTCCTCTGAAACTTCCCACCACCACAAAAAAAAAAAAAAAAAAAAAAAAAAAAAATGCCAAAAAGCACCATTCAAGCTTTGGGTGCATAAAAGAATTTTTAGTGTATAAGGTGGAAAATTACCATTACACATGTGTTGTTTTTGAAGGATAACTCAGATTTTAAGGAAGTTAGCCACATACACGCTTGTAGGTATTTATTATTAGCCATAGAGGAGGCTACATGAAATTTTATTCTCTAATTCTTCCAAGACAAGCAGGGGTTAAATCATCAGCAGACAGTGGACAGTATTTGAACTATTCTAGATGTAATCAAATGTGTTTCATAGGAAGAACCACTGGTTTTAAGTTTGACTGTACAATGAAGAAAATTCATACGGAAAACAATTATCACACTGATTTTTATAGTTGAGCTGTTGAGACAGCTCGGTGAGTGAGGAAGCTGGCCCCTGAACTCGATGACTTGAGCTCAGTCCCTTAGACCTGCATGGTGAAGTGGAGAACCAACTCCTGCAAACTGTCCTCTGAACTTCACACGCCTTCTCCCAAATAAAAAAGAGTTATGCTTAAAAATAATCTAATAGAACACACCCATCATAAGAACAGCACTTTTATGCTAGCAATGAAAATCTGAACACACACACACACACACACACCAAATGCACACACACACACACACTCATACTCACAGAGGAGTCAATATGCTATTTTCATGCCAGCAGTTTTCTTGAGTTATTCTTACCAACATGCCCTATGTTCCTAGACTTAAGAAGGAAGGTCTTGACATGTTGATACATGTCTGCAGTCCAGTACTCCGGAAGCAGAGGCAGGAAAATCACCATGAGTTTGAAGTCAGACTGGTCTACACAAGAATTCTATGTGACTGCGAGCTAAATAGTGAAACCCCATTAAAGACATGATAAATTCTAATTAAAGAAAGGATGGACTAAGTAGATGACTCGGTGTGAAGAACACTCACTGTGTAAGCAAGAGGACCCCAGATAAAGTTCTTAACACATAAAAGTCAGCATGCTTGTGCAAACCTCAACCCTTGCACTGATGGACAGACACTGGGGGCTCCTGAGTTTGCTGGATAGTCAGTGTAGCCAGATGGTATGCTTCAGTTTCAGCAAGCAAGCCTGACCTTTCTGTCCCCAAAATGGTAGAAAATATGAAAGAAAACTATGTCTTCCTCTGGCTTCCAAATGCATGTGCTTGGTTCATAGATATATACACCCAACTACACATATTGTTCATACCATACACACAAATAAAGACAATAGAAGGTAGTATATTTTCCTAAGTACTAGGAAAAAATGGACACTTCACATGGAAATAATGCAATAGAAAAATACAGTGAGTCTCACGTCACTCATCCTTCATATCTAGAATATAAAATATTTTATCAAATATCAACTAGAACTTGTTTGATTTTTTGTAAAATATATTTAAATTAAGAAGATAATGGATTTTGACTTTCATTATAAAACATTTGTACTTTTTTTCTTTTATTTTTCAGATTATAATTAGATCATTTTTTCCCTTCCCTTCCTTTCATCCAAACATGCTTTTAACAGAAAACTACTTTTATATGAGAACAACTGAACCAAAGATATGAGGATAATTTTCTCTATTTTGTGTATTTCTTTCTCCTTTATCTTTTATTAAAATTTTCTAATCTAGTGTAGTTTTAACATAAGTGATAAATATAGAGACAGATTATATTTATATAGAGAGATGACCAATAAATAGGATGATGGGTAGGCCATTTTCCTTCAGTTTGTCTCTATTCCTGACCTTTCATTGTTCAAGTTTTTATCATATGTAATCTTCCCTCTCACTATTAATAAATTTCTTTATATCCTTCTGTAACTTTTGTGACTTCATGTACATATATGTGGAGGCATCTTTAATTGTTCTGTCAAAATTAAATCAAACCATGCATGTTTGTTATATTTTTCTCATATAAAGCTGTACCTGCCTTTTTCTCCAGTAGGGTAGGTATACTATTTATACAACTCATTTTCTATAAGCTGTAATAGCTAATATGTATAAACCCAAATTTAGTAACATACTGGCTTTTAATTATAATTTAGGTTATTTCCAAATTTTTACAATTAAAACTATGGTATTCATTATTTTATAGAAAGCATGATACACTCCATGGCTGGGCCAACATGTACTAAAAAATGTTTTTAAAGATATAGAAAACTCACATCTTCTCCAGCAAATTTGTACAGTTGCTGTGGAAATCCGTATGAGGATTTCTCGGAAAATTAGTAATCAACATTTCTCAAGACACAGTAATACCACTTTTGAGCGTATACCCCAAGGAGGCACACTCACAACACAAGGACATTTGCTCAACTATGTTCATAGTAACATTATTTGTAATAGCCAGAAATGGAAACAACCTAGATGCCCCTCAACCGAAGAATGATTAAAGAAATTTAGGTACATTTACACAATGTAGTACTACTCAGCAGTAAGAAACAATGGCATCCTCATTTGCAAGGATAGAAACTAGAAAAAAACATCCTAAGTGAGGTAACCCAGACTCAGAAAGACAAATATAGTATGTACTCGCTCATAACTGGATACAAGACATAAAGCAAAAAATACCCAGCCTATAATCCACAACCCCAGAGAAGCTAGAACCCTCTTCCAGAAACAGATAGAAGCAGATGCAGAAATCCACAACTTGGCCATTGGGCCAAGATCCTGAAGTACAATCGAAGTAAGGGAGAAACAATTATATGAACAAAGGAGTCAAGATCAGAATCAGCTGACCCTAAGTAATGAGAGATCACTGACTCCAGTCTGACAACTGGGGAACCTGCATAAGACCCAACTAGACTCCTTAATATAGGTGATAATGGTGTGGCTGGGGCAATATATGAGGCCACTGGAAGTGGATACAAAATCTAACACTAATTCACAAACAGACTTAGTGGAGCCTATTCTATATGGAGAGATATCTTGCTCAGCTTAGACATTGGGGTGGGGAATGGGGGAGGGGAGGTTCCTTGGTACTGCCTCAACAAGATGATGGGACAGACTTAGACTTCCTAGGGGAGGGCTTACTGTCTCTGAGAAGCAGATGGGAGGTGAGAGGAATGGGAGGAGAGGAGGAAGGGGGGAACTAGGATCAGAATGTAAAAAATAAATTAACAATTAAAAAATATATTTAAAAAAGAAAACTAAACTTCCTCACTGAAGGTAAACTGCAAAAAATGGTGATAGCACAAAGTGTTCTCCAGGGAGGGCCATAATTTTCTATGATCTGGACTTACTATTCTCTGCAGTTGGTTGCGTCACATAGCTAAGCTCATCACACTCAAATTAAGGCTAGAGATCTACAAAGAAAGACACAGCTTCACAGTCACCATCTTTGAGTACATCTGTGAGGAGGAAGACCTTCACACTGTCAACCTTAGTCTAAGCCAAAGACTACCTGTGTCATGTGAGAACTGCACCTTATTAGAAACCAGTGCACACAGTACTACAGTCTTTTGTCTTTAAAACATTTAAAAATAAAATTTTAATTTGGCTTTCATGTACATATGTGCAGCTCATCTGTGCTAGTGCTTGCAGAGGCCAAAAGAGAACACAGGATCCCTGGACCTGGAGTTCCACACTGTTGTTGCTGGCATCTGGATGCTGGGAAACTAACCCGGGTCCTCTGCAAGAACAACAAATGATCTTAACCACTGAGTCATCACTCCAGTTCTATTTTTTTTCTGAAAGAAATATCCATAATTCTTCTATCTCTTTCTCCAAAGATGCATTTAAGTGTCAAAAACAAAGTTTCTCTATGCCAGCTCTGTGCTTCCTTCAACATAGGGCCTTGATGCCTCCTTAGTATTAAGGCTTAAACATACGTAAATCTTAATTGTTTCCATATGTGTTGTGACTTGTCACAAAAAAGACTTTACTATGTCCTGACATCTCCCTACTTTTGTGTTGTATTGATGATTCATTATTACTACGTCCATTATCAGAGAATGAATGATATATGGCAATAGGAAAAAAAAAAAGGAAGAATTACATTTCAAGGCCAGTTTTTCTTCTATTATCATATAATCCATCATATTTTACTAATATTGGCACAACATCACTGGTCACATGCAGATAATAAAATAGAGTTTTTGCAACTCTCTTTACCAGAGAAATAAACAAGGTGAAAAATTTAGCCATTTACATGTGAAGTTTTTTTTTTTTTGGTTGAAGGAGATAAAGGGGAGACATTTATACTTCCTAGTAGACACCACTTTAGGGTGAGAAGGTAGCTCTGAGCCCTGACATCTACCCATACCTCCTATATTACTGCTGAAAAGGATCCCTTCTAAGTGCTAAATAACATCTGGCACTTACTATTTGGAACATGTCCAAGGACTTCAATTTTCCTCCAGATAAATGCTTCTCCTTTTAAATAGATAATAAGTGTCTGCCTAATCTCCCACCCATATCTCTTTATTCTTTCACTTCAAGGAAATGAGATGAGTTACAGGATAATTCTTATCTATGCCAAAGCAGGCAGAATCAGAACAGAGAACCAGGGCTTAGTCTTAACAATACCATCATAAGAAGCCACTGCGGATTGTTTTTATCAGTTAGCACTGTCACTACACTGATGGGAGATGTCATTTTGTAAATATGTTTCTCTTATTGGTTAATGAATAAAACATTTGTTGGCCAATAGGAAAGCA